GAGTAAGGGTATTTTAAGTAAGTCATTGCACTAGTTTAAAGGGTGCTTGCTATCTCAAAATTGCATTTTGGAAAAATCTCTTTTTTAATTTGATGAAACCCTTAATGCTTTCAACTTTCTTTCAATTCATTTAAAAACTTCCTTCAAAATATGCCAACAACACAAAAATGCATGGCACCAAAAGCACAACTACCCCGAATACCCTCCATTGAACCTCTTACTAAAAAAAGAACTAACGTTTTCCAGTGCTTAAAGCAACATTGAAACCATCACATTGTAGGTCCAAGTTCTAGGTACACTTGAACTTGAAACAGGTAAATGAAACAGGATGCTGCATCACATTGTCAGACTACACAAAAATTTGTTTTGTATCACTAACGTCCCCCATAACTGTTAAGAACACATCCAGCCTAGCTCAAGCTCATCTTTCCTGGAACCATATGGTCAGATCTGCCTTTCAGGAGAGGCACTGGTGCAAGTTATAGAAAATTCTGTTCCATACACAATTAATCAAAAGAGTACTGTATGTTCTCCTCTACTTGGGGAAATAGAAATTAAATGGGTCAATAAGTAAAATCAATAGGTAAAAGTCAAGACATCTCTGTGTCCTCCTAACTCCAGGCAATACTGATAATGGATGACAGTGGCTCGAAACAAGCAAGATGACTTAGAAATCACCTTCATCAACATTTGCACTGATTATTAAGGCCAATAGGATATTAACTGTCAAAGAGTTAGTTTTGCTGTTTTGTGTTCCAAGCCATGTTGATTCGTTTTGGGATGAAGTCTCGAATATTCTGAAGCTCAAAGTGAAAAGAAGAACAGCTAAGGGTCAAGATGTACCTGGGTCCAGCTACCATTAACTAGCTGGGTAACCTTGGGTAAGTCACATGCCCTGGGCTTCAGGCTCATCAACTGTGAAAAGGTCTCCACTGTTCTTTGATGGGAACACTATCAGCCAGTTTAAGGTCCCATAAATGAGATTGTTTCCTTTGATTGGCATTTACAGGAAGGAGAAAAACAACCCCATTTAGATTGGTGAGTTTATGTTTCTCCACAAGAGAGAATATATGTTTTGTAGAAGAGAGGAAGTGTATCTGTGTTGTTGTAAAACATGTTTCCACTTTATAGTAACTAAGTAGAGTGGAGGAGGTATGCCTCATAGCACAGGACTTGGTTAATTACTGTTTCACTTGGTTGTGAAGTTATCTTAACGATTTAGCAGTGTGAATAAGCTCTGCTCTATGGAGTGTAGCTACTTTGTCTCATCCAAAGGGTGCTAGAAGCCTCCCTGTTCTATTATTTAAACATGTATAAAAACAAATGAATACAACGGACAAAAAGGGGGCTTGCCTGTGAGACTCTGATGTTAATAAAGTTTTGGTATGGAAACACTGGCCATATATTATAGGCAAAATACTCCTTCAGCAACACGTTTATAACAACTAGAAACTCAGTTGTACTGACACTAAAGACAACTGAAGATATTCTTCCTAGAACTTGTGAATAAATGAAAGTGTAATTTTAAATGTCTTCTCACCTCCTCTTGGGATCATTTCTCCAAACCTTGTACTCAAGCTACATCTGTGATCAACAGGAAGATTGTCCATTTGGAGAGGAAAGGCCTCGTTTGGAACCAATTCTCTTTCACCCTGACTGACTTTCGGCAGATTGCTTCTTACTTATTATTCAAAGAGTAGTCTAAAAAGCATGAGCCATTTGCATTGAGAAAATGGCACTGTGAAAAAGATTACATTGCAATGGTTTTATACACTTTGCTCCAATATGTAAAACCACCTCAATTCCCTCATCTCTTGGTTTAATTTACACTCTCTAATTAGCATACCTTTCAAGCCTCCTAGTACCATTTCTCCACTGGATATTTCTAATGGCTCAGTTTTTAGACACTCAACCAAAGAGATAGAATCCTCGAATCACCAAGAAGGAGGAAAGAAAAATGTAATGGGCCCTTTGCATAACTGTAGTACAAACAGTGAGAAATTAATTCACAGGTAAATTCTTGTTTGTCAGGGATCTGCTTAAAAGGAGTGATATCAGGGTTTAATATTTTAGCAATTTCCCTGTTTTATATAGGTAATTAGGCATCTTGCAAAAAAAAAGTAGGTATAGATAGAGTTATATATAGTCATGTGATCTGCAGATACAAATTATATGCATGCATGTTTGTGACTAGGTTTATATTTACTCAGAAAGCAAGGGCAGAAAGCAAGGGCTTGCAAATGCCTGTCCAAAGAACCCTAAAGAAACATCCTAGAGAGACAGCATCTTAATATTAACCTAACGTATTTTAAAGCACATAATTCCGTTTGCCACTAATAACATTTTAGCTGAAATAAAACACCAGATATACTGTAACACACTAGATAGAATGTGAAAACCAAACACAGTACAATTCAATACAGTAATGGGAAAATGGTACGGGATACATTCGATACAGTCTAACTCAACCCAGTGGACTATCATGTAAACAAAACAGTAACACTTCAAAAGCAGACAAACCTTTTCCCAACAAGATTGTAGAGTAAACCAACAGTGCACTCTGGGGATGCACTCAGCAGAATGGTTGTTGGACAATGACAAAGGGTAACAGAACCAGTTGCAAAATGCAATCATCATGTTCTGCCTGATAGGCAAACATGATAGGTGGTAGATTTCTATGCCTGTTTTAACACCTCTGTGGACTTTAATGCTTTGATCTTCATTTTAATTGCTTGGTATGTTTGTTTTCCTTACTATATTGACTGCACCACGCTTATTGTTGAGTTGGTAGAAGAAGACATACAAGAATATATATAGAAAGGCCATATGGAGCTTCTCACGGACAGATTTCGATACTCGTAGCTGTTCAGAATTTCAACTGAAATAGAAAAAAAAAATAAAAAAGAAAGTGAGAAAAATGGAAGGGTTATTGAAATAGGAGCCAGAATAATGTAGTTCTTGTCCCAGTTTTGTGTGTGAACTATGCCAAGATATTCCCCACTCAAATTTCAGAAGCTATATCTGCAAAAATGAGGCTGCTGGAAATTATCACTAAAGAGCCATTAGCCCCTAAGTTACCAGAGATGCATTCAATAGTTTTAATGTATTACCTGCACAATGCAAAATGTTTTGATGAGCATTCACCATCCATCCATTTCCTTCAACAAGCATACACCAAGAAAATGTATTCAATACCAATAATTTTGAAATATGCAATTATGACATGAACGTCAACCTTTTTATTTCAATGGTGTGGAGACACATACAAACAGCCCAAGTCTGAAATCTACATACATGTATGATGGACGTGCTATGACTACCTGGTTTTTTATGATTTGTGTATTTTTATGCATATATTAAAGAAGGCCCGTAAGTTTATATGTAATGAATTTATAAATATACTGATAATAAAAAGTAAAAATGAGGAAAAGAAAAAAGGGGGAGGTATATTGGACTTTATGTCAGAACTGTCTTGGGGCAGAGCACTCTCTGTGAGGCTTTGTCATAAATCAGGGACTACCTGCATATAGTATTGTGCAAAATTACATTTTTGAACATTGGCACAATTCTCGACATCTGCTACACACTGAAGTGATTTGTGTTCTGCCAAAAATGTCTAAATTTTAAAATGGAATCAAGCAAAGCCATTCCCGAGCATGTTCTGTTGGAGAATTGATTCTATTTGACAACATTTGTTCACCTGAATGTGAAACAGATTGTGAGGACTGGGCAAATGTTTGCCAAAGCTACATTCTCAAGTTTGGAGCTACTGTCAAGTTGCCACTATCCCAAATGACACTCCTGAAAGATATTTCTAATTTACAACTACTTTGGGCCTTCTACATATCCAAAGTTGTCTTTTTAAAAACTTCCCCATGAATGAGGGAGACCTAATTACTGACTGTACACTCATTTATAGGCTCTGTCCAGAACTGTTGGGGCTCTAAGTCCTCCATGGGAAAGAAGTGGTAGCCGAGATCTAGAGAACTAGTCCATCAGTGGAACAGAACTGGTGTCTCCTTCAACCAAATAAAACACTCTGGCATTGTAAGCATTAACTTTCCAATAACAAATGTGTGCAATTCAAAACTGGTCCATTTGCCTCATAAATCTCTATCATGAATTAGATACCTAGGAGCATTTTCCAAATGAGAGATTGTTCAAATCAAGTATGTGCTACTATAGGCTCTGGAGCATGCAAAGAGGAGATCAAGAGTGAAGGAGGAAAAAAAAGTCGAACGGCAATAATGACAATAATAAAAACCATGATTTGAATGAAAACAATGGTTGGCTAATTATAAAATGATGCCACTCAAAAAAAGCTGGAGTAATTTTGGTGGAGCAACACAAAATAGCAGAGTGTAAAGGCAATGTTTTCTATCATGTCATGTATTATTGCCTTATTTTAGGAGAATCAGCTCAATCCTCAAAAATCTCAAACCCAACCAAATGGCTTTGAATCCCGTCTGACTCAAAGTAACCCTCCGCTGGGTTTTTAAGACTATAAACCTTCACAGGAGGGAGCGGCTTGTGGGTGCAAACTGCTGACCATTCAGGTAGCAGGGTGAAATGTTATACACCGCATCACCAGGACTCCTTATCTATGTTACATTCTGATGCAATGACTTGGCATTACTTCAATTGTTTTTAAAAAAGCAGCTACAAAACAGGTAAAGCCTTAGAATTCAAAACTGATTTGTGACTTTGACTAGCAAACCCCACCCTTTTAAGAATTGGGAAGACATTTCAGAATTTGTAAGTTCAGTGTGTGTGTGTGGGGAAACCGCAGCACCAATTGTTATTTTCAAATAGAAATTGCATGTTTGACCTCCAAACTGGATAATTTAGTATGCTTAACTCAGGCACAAAGTGGCAAGAAGGCTATTAATAAAACTTTTCCCGAAGATTTAGCAAATGCGATTCCGCAAACAAAAGAGAAAACCAATAAAGAGGATTGCTAGTAATACTTTAAAAAAAACTTACTTTTCTACTGGTAACTTCTACATCTGTGAAACAAACATGCTGCTATTCAGTTCATCTATTGATAAATGGGGTATCTATAGTAGTAAAAAAGATTTTAGATTAAAATATAATTCAGCTTATTTTGTTCACTGTTTGGACATGGTAGCCAATAAACAGATTCAACTTCACAGAAAATGTTAGCTACTTTAACCATTTATATTAGGAATTAATTTAACACAGCACAGATCAGAGTGTGGTTTGTTCCAATGCATAAATGCTTTGCATGATGCATAGCTAGCATGCTTGAAATTGTAACTTAAAGAGCAGTGGAACTTGCAAACTGTAAGCCTGGTTGCTATTTCAGTAAGGCCCAAATGGTCATCACAGTACATAAGCACTGTTGTACATATCTCCTTACAAATTGAGACTCTCCCTAAACAGACACTTTGCATTGTGCTTCTGCCTGGAAATATCTAAAGCAAATGAAAATCAAAGCAATGCAAGCACATTTTATGTCAGTATGAGAAGAAACTTTGGATGTAACAACTGAATAATGATATCTGTGCCTTGGAAAGAAATATGCCATTTTGCTTTCTTTCCAGCAGATGATGATTGCACCAAGTGAAATGGTAAACACAATAACCAAAGAATGTAGTAAAAGAAAAGAAATTCTCCCCTTGACCACTGAGGAAGGATTTACGATGCATTTAGTGTATGCATTTGAGGACTGGTATGGCAGCAACAATTGTATATTGCATATTACGAACATTATTTGGTAACTGAGTACAAATGAATAAAAACTCTGCTGGTGCAGCTCAAGGTGGGTATGGAATCACCCTCCCCCACCCCATGTATAGCATTCTAGAATTTACACAAAGCTAAATGTGACAACCGCTCAAGAAATATGGAAAAATATAAACCATGCCCCTCACCAATTAAGATATTAAATATAGATAGATAGATAGATAGATAGATATAGTGTCTTATACACTGTAATTATCCAACAGGTGAAATAAAGGGCCAAACCTGGTTGCCTGTGGTTGTTGCAACGTAGGGCACGCTGTTGATAGGTGTAGTTGCTGCAGACACAGTGGCAGGTGTAGCACCGTGCATCATGGGCACTTTCAGTAGGAAACCATGGAAGAGTACACGGTAGGGTGGAGCATATATGCAACCATGAAATGCACGACCAAATGAAGCATGGTAGGTAGGTATCACAGCAACAAGCCATGTGACATCATCATGATGGGTACACCAGGGTGCAGCATGCAATCACAGTCAGTGCAAAGCAACACAACATGGAAGGGGAAGAATTTAAAAAGAGAAAAAGGGGAAAAGCCAATTATAGTTATCATTAAGACAAGTATCATTTTCAACATTCAGTAAATTTTGGAGCAGAATTATCATGTAGTTCACTCAACGCTACAACGCAGATGAACCTCGAATGTTGTATGCTGAAGGCAGGAAGTCAATCACAAAAGATTTTTGTCTCATCTCACTTGTATGACATTTCTAAAATAGTAAAATGTGTAGAGTCCAAAGTTTCTTATTGATTACTAGGGGCATAAAGTGAGGGACGGGGTTGTGGGGGCAGGGAAAGTCACTGTTCAGGAAGCACTGAATATTAGTTAATGGAGGTAGAAAACTTGGCAACTTATCTTGGTGATAGAAGCACAACATAATAAATGTAATTAGTGCCACTGACATGTCAAAAAAAGGTGAATTGGCAAATATTGTCTTTTATACACATACAATACATAATACATATTATGTATTCTTTTTATACCACAATGAAAAAGGCTGCATTTTCAGAAGGAGTTACAATGAATGCATATGGAAAAAAAAAACAACCCGCGATTTTAACCAGGAATAGCTAGTTAAGCAGACGAGCAACTGGGTTGCACATTCGAACTGGAATTAGTCTTGCAGTTTGCAGTTATTTTGTGAATTAGGGCTTGGATTTACTGATTTATGGACATGAGGGCTTTCACTAGATTGGCAGGTGCAAGGAGACAGTTATATGAATGCTTCTCTGTTTAGCATGCAGAAACAAAACCAAAAAGATGGTGGCTTGATTGGTAAGCATGTGGCAGGGGAGCAGACATTAAGAGCACAGTGTATTATCCATATAGGTTTCCCAAACTCCTTGGAAACTCTGGCTATTTACCAATAGAATACAAAGATCATTTAGTAATAAATAGCCAGCAAAATTTTGTCTTCACCGCAAGTATCACAGCTACAATAGTTAGCAGCTGCAGCAGCTCTTTCAGGATGTTTTCTATTTGCAGCAAATAAGCTTTCTCTAGTTTTTAGCTCATTCTGGAAAGCAAAGCAAGGAATTGATGTGCAAATGACAAGTATGCATATAGAATAATTTACCACGATTGCATTCAGATGCCTTGAAATCGACACAGAATGTGCACAGCGAAGAGAATCAACATATGTAATGTCATTACATCAAAACTGTACCCTACATGGTGATTCCTGGAAACTCAGTAGTTATCCCTTGTACTTGTCTGTAGTTTTGCATTCCCTATAGCCATCCCTTATTGTCACACATGCCAATTCTAGAAATTCTCCTGTTTATCCTTTGAGAATGCAGCAACTAGACAAGCAGCAGCAGTGCCAATGCATGCAGATTGCATTCTTAAGCAGAGCACTCAAGGTGAAAGAATGGGGGTACGTCCTGGAGACAACAGCCACAAAGTACAAAAACAGACATCTTCCACAAGCTTGCAGAAGTCTGTTGTTCTAATCGTATGCATATAATGCTCCTGTTAGTAGCAATGGAGATCATTCATTTGGGCTAAGGACAGCCAGTAGTTCTCTAATCCATGGATAAAAGAGGCTTCACCTCTTTTGCCAAAGCTCAACCCTTGCTGTGTTAGTGAGTATTGCTACTGCGTGGTTGTCATTTTGACCCTATCAGCCTGTTAGCCTCTGCTGGGCGCTGCATCTTCTGTCTAAGCCCAAGAATGGGTCAAGGTGTTACAAAATCTTACCAAGAATAGGGGTAGCTGAGCTGAAATGGGATAGCTGGGGTGGCTGGGAGAGGGGGTCATCCCTCCCTCCATAAACATCAGAGCTCTTTTGTCCTGCTGATGAGAAGATCAGGATTCTAGGTGTGGTGAATTTTGTAAGAGTTCTCTTGACAGGGAAACAGCCATATTCTCTTCTTCAGTAGCGATGGTAGAGAAAGTAGCTTAGTAATGGCTACTGTATTGTGTTAGTGGCTTATCTGAGAATTTTAGTGTGACCCTGAAAGTGTCATTTTGATATTCCACTATGCCTAGTTTTGGTGCAGAAAGGTGCTTCTTTCGAGACTCACAGAACATTACAGAAATCTCTAATCAACTCTTTCTCAATATCCAAGTACTGAATGATTTTATGGGTAATTTAGGGATAAATGGTTTTGTTGTACTTTATAAGTGATACATTTGAAGTAGTTTACCATTTTAAATAACAGCTTACTCATAACATATAAGTATAAGGTATTTATGATAACTTTATAAGTCTATGTATAATTACCCAGTTTAGGTAAGAAAATATTTTGAAATATTTCGGTTGCCATTTTGGGAGATGAAAGTAAAGAAATAATAGAGTCAAGACTTGGCCACAGTGGCAATGAACTAAGACATGAGAAAGTATGGCTATTTTGTTTCCACAGACATGAAACAGCACCATATCAACTCTTAAAGAAAAAAATGTGCAGCCACATCATTCAGTCATTCACAGAATACAGATTTTCAAATTAGAAAACAATTGAGAATTTGTTTTGAAAAACCTACCAACACTTGAAGAGGGTGCCATGCACAGTATTGGCCCTGTACATCATGCAGAAAAGTGGGGAAGCAAAGAAAAGAGATATTTCATTATTAAAGCCTTACTGGTAGAAATACTTTTAATTAGCTATTTTCTTCTCTCTCTTATGTAATGAGTACATGTAAAACCAGTAACCTCCCATGCTTATAATTAAAGCTTGGCTTTAAGATCACACACTTAGGTAATAAAAGTAATTCTTACATTTTTAGATTTAAAAATAATCGTTACTATTTCTTCCTCAATCACCTTACTAAAATTATAATTACCAACATCTCTTTACTAATTATTATCAGAAGAGGAAAATGTTAAAATTTATCACTCGTATTATTTTGAATATATTCACCAGGCTCTGGTGCCAGTATTTCTTTTTTAGGCATTGATTTATTAACACTGCCTACTCCAGTTTGTTGTAACCAAGGACTTGAATGCAAATATATGGCAAATAGTCTTTTTCATTAAAAAGCAGCTCTCAGGTTTCTGGCTTGCCATTAACTAAGAAGATGTATATGACATTTTTACTTATATGACGAGATGTTAAATAGTTCAGATCTACAAAGGGGGAAAAAGCCCTTAACATCTTAACAAAATGAGTATACAATGGAGAAGACTCAGAATGAATAACATCACTTTTGTATGTAATCACATTCAGCAATCCTGGATACTGAATTCACTCCCTAGCTCCAAGACAAGTTGGAAGCAGACAAGGTAGCGTGCTCTTACTTGGAGGTAAATCACCACCGTTTTGGACAGAAATGTGCCAAACAGGAGGATCCCCTTAAGCCATATTGGTTTGCCCTCTCTATGAATGTTATATTTTCTGCCTTAACTTAGAGGGTAAATCTTAATTGTTATTGATCAACAGTTACTTTTAATAAGTGACGTAAAAGAAGTGCCTATGAATTCTACTCTGTTTTTTCCTCGGAAAACTACTGTGTAAATGTGTAAAAATATATTTTTATATTACTAATATATATATATATATATATCACTAAAAAGGCTTTCTAAATTTATTTTTTAAAGATGCTATTTATTGTTAATGTTAGGGATTTTGGTGGCTTAGTGGTAAGAAACTGTGTTGCCAATGCAAAGATATGTGGTTCAAATCTACTAGCTGCTTCACAGGAGAAAGATGGACAATCTCCTCCTGCGCAATTGACTGCCTCTGAAACCCCACTAGAGGCTCAGCTATGCGTGGGTTCCAAACTGATGGTACATAACACCACCACCACCATTTCTCTTCAATGATAGTTTCCAAACTGGAGTGTTTACCATTTTGGTAAGAAAGAAAAACAAAAACCCAAACAGACAACTCTTCCCTACTTTAGTGGTTGGTATTTTCAAAGTATTACTTGAAGACGATGCTTGTTATCAAAGAATTAACCCACTAGTAGAAAATTATTTTCCCAAATGTATGACCTTTATTTGGAAACATTTTCTGGCTTAAAATTTTCTATTCAATTTGATGCAAAACTGTTATGCTATTCACAGTCAAATGTTGAGAACAATATATAAAGATATGCCACAAAGTGTCATAAATTTCTCTATTTCTGATATTAAGTGGCTTAAGAATGAGAGGCTCAACTGCGAGCTCAAATGTCCTAGTGGGTAGGGAGTTACGCTGCCAACCCAAATACAGGTGGTTCGAAACCACCATCAGCTTCACAGGAGAAAGATAGGAAATCCCCTCCTGTGAGATTTATGGCCTCTGAAAATCTGATGGTGGCCATCTATGAGTCAGATCTGACTTGATGGCCCTGGGTTGAGTTTGAGTTGATGTATATTTAGCTGTCTGTCACCCTGAGTCAGTTCCTGAACTGGACACAGAGATCCCATGAATTACACAATAGATGAATTGTTCCATAGAGCTGTCAACTTTACAGAAGCAGGTTGCCAGGCCTTTTTTCTGTGGTGCTGCTGGGGGTGGTGGTGGTTCAAACTACCAACTTTTGCAATGACAGGTGATGACAAACATCTTGTACCACTCACGCTCTTCATATAAGGTAATATACATGCAAAGGCAATTTTATTACAACTATTTTGGCATATCAAATACACACACACACACACACACACACACACACACACACACACACAGTTTTATAATGCTTAAGTTGGGAAGGCTTTTATTTTAAAATGGAAGACCACTGTCTCCAACACTCAAAAGTCAAAGAATTAGTTTGAAGCAGAAACAAGTGATTCAATTGCAAGCAGGAAAGAAAAAATAGAAAGAGAAAGGAAGGAAGGAAGGAGAGAGAGAAGAGAAGAGAAGAGAAGAGAAGAGAAGAGAAGAGAAGAGAAGAGAAGAGAAAAGAAAGAAGTGCTAATAATGTAAAATATTGACATTTATCCCTACTTTGATTCCCAACCACTCATTTGTAGAAGTCGCGGAAAAACATGTTGCTCTGTACACTAGCTGATAAGTATAACTGCCTTGTTTCCTTTCTAATTGAAATGCCTGTTAATGGTCTTCCTGCAACAGCTCTTTTGGAAGCTGCTCTACTTTGTATACATTCACAATTATCACTGAAGGCCTGGTGCTCAGAGCCTTGTTCTCACCTGCAGGGATATATGCCTGTGGTGGTGGCGGCGGTGGCGGTGGGAGCTGCAGGTTAACCATAGGATGCTGGCAGTGGTAAACACCGGGACTGAAGACTGGGGTGGCACCATTGGGCTTTTCAAGCATAGGTCTCTTTGGTATCAGTTGAAGTGCACCAGGCTGGAAGGCCTGTGAGGGAGAGATGAATTAAAACACAGTACCCAAGGCAGGTATATATCAAGAAAACAAAGATTCTCACCATTGGGCCAATTGGCAGCATCATATTGAGACTGTAAACAGCTTTAGTTTCCTTGGCTCCACAATCAACACTCTTGGCACCAGCAGCCAGGGCATTGGGAAAGTCTGCTGTCAGAGACCTCATCAGAGTATTGAAGAGCAATGATGTCAGTCTGGAGACTAAGGTGAACCTGATACAGGCCCTGGTCTTTGCAGTCACTTGCTATGCATCAGAGAGCTGGGCAATGACTAGGGAGGATAGAAGGAGAATTGATGCCTTTGAGCTGTGGTGCTGGAGAAGAGTATTGAATATACCATGAACTGCTAAGAGAACGAACAGGTTCAGCCTGGAGAGGGTGAGACCAGGCTGCTCCTTTGAGACAAGGGTTCTGAAGCTTCGTCGGACAAACTGTGGACACGTTGCAAGGAGGGAACAGTCTTTGGAGAGGGACATCATGCTTGGGAGGGTGGAGGGACAGCACGGGAGAGGAAGACCCTCCATGAGGTGGATTGATTCAGTGACTGGGGTAATTGGGATGGGAGTGTCAGAGACAATAAGGTTGGCACAGGATAGAGCAGGGTTTAGGGTTGTTGTACATATGTTCGCTATGAGTCGCAGGTGACTCGATGGCACATAACAACAACAAAACAACTCAAATAAAGGAAAATGTACTCAAACCAAAGCAACTGCCAGTTACATAATGAATGGCTACTGGCATGGGTTTCCATTTGAACAAGTGAGTGACCGACCAGTGGCTGCCACAGCCAGGTCGGTGATGCAGACCCTAGGCCATACACTAGATACATTTTTACTTTGAATCAGAGCAGACAAAGCCTCAGAAACAGAAAAATGAGAGGAAACTTGAGCTCTGCAACTGCACTCATTTAGGCAAATATAAAAGGACCACCTCCTGTGGACAAGATGTGGCAGAAAGCTGCTACAGATCAAATAATTAAAAATTAATATCTCTGTGAAGTTCATCTATTGATTGATTAAAATGAGTTTTGTGGAAACCATGGGTATAAAAGCAGGATTTCTGCTAGTTAAAATGCTACATGTAGGTCTAAGAGAGATGTATATGTTATTATACGCAGGTGATAAAAACAGATGCTGGCAGAGCAGAAGTGCCATTTACACAAGGATGTTGGGTTCAGATTCTCTAAGTGTGTATCTCCAAACTAATATGTAAGGAGAAAGTGAATGAGTCATGTCTCACCACAGCCCACTCCACCCAGGTAGGCTAGAGAAGCAGCCAAATGGACGCAACTCTCATTTACAGATGCATTGTTATTTCAAACCCTCCTTTCACGTCTACGGTTCTTGCAAAATCCCTCAGTGCCAAAATATTCAAACCTTCCCCTACACAGATTCATTGGAGAAGTTGGACATTACACTTTTGTACCTTCTCAGCAAATTACACATTAGCTAAAACCAACCAAACCAACCAATAAACAAACAACCCTATATTCCAGTAACACAATCTGGTGTGCATCCAAATCTTTAGGAACATTTGTGCAGCACAGCAAGCGCCAAAGTGGAGTTTCATGAGCTCTTTGTTCTTGTGGCTAATGAAGGCTCAGATGGATCTTATCTCTACTTATTTATGGGAACTCGTTGTCAGTGTATCCCGGATGACAGTTCAGCTTTTAATTTCTCATAAATTAAGGCAAGGATGCTAGAAAAGTGCACTCAAGCCAAACAAGCAAGCTGTGGAGAGGCCCAGATACAAAGGTCATGAATAAAGCTATAAACTGTAAAATGGAGTCCAGGATTTCAAACACCTTCATTAACAAGAAGGGAAAAGAATTTTTGCCCAATTTCTTCATTAAGCAAGACAGGAGACTGTACATCTGGCTATTGAAAAGGACTTCCCTTTGGGATTAGTGAAGCGAGGGGGCTTTCTTTCTCTGGGCAGGAGTATGTTTCATCATTAAAACAAAGTTGCGGGGGTTATTCATAGGGTCGCACAATTGGATAGGTGGAGGAGCGGTGAAGGAAATGGGAAAGATCCGGAGTGACAAACAATACATATGAACTTTGTAAATAAAGCAGTAGAAAATAAAATAAAAACAAAATAAAGTTTTGTTGCCAAGTGAACAACAAGTTGAGGTAAGGTCTGGATACACACACACACCTGTTGTACTCTAGCAAGATAATCTTATTTGTTTATTTTCATTGTGATAGGACAGTGCCCAGTTCTGACTGGGTGATGCCTATACTACTATTAAATATCTCACTTATGAACACTGGGTATGGAAGGCCAAGCTAGGAAAGGGAAAATATAGTGTAGCAATAAAAAGAATTATAATAATGAATGAATGGAAATCTAATTTCTCTGTAACTATTCGTTAAAATCACAATTAAAATAACATTTTATTTAAGCAAAAATCATTGACAGGTCTGACAAATTACTAAGGAATAGTCAGGAGTTGTGTTGTCAACCCAGAGGCAGGAAGTTCAAATCCACTAGCTGCTCCATCGAAGAAAGAGGAACAATCCTCGCTCCGAAACCTTGCTGGAGCTTCAGCTATGAGTCATTTCCCACTCAATGACATATAACAAAAACAGTAACAGTTTTAATTTCTCAACCTATTGTATTGTAGTATTACGTAAATATGTTTTCTATCTCTTACCTTTCAGTGTTCATTAGAACCAACATTTCCCAAAGTGGGCTTGCTAGGACAGCTCAGCTCTCTTCTCCTAATTATGTCAAAACTTTAATCTTCTCCCTCTCCTGTTTTCTACTGCTGCCTTTGTCCCGACAGAAAACGGGGAGAATTGCAGACTTTGGGAAATCAGACCCTCCTGTCTCTCAAGTCACAGATTTTTGAAAGGCATTGAAGATGTCACTAGCCAAGTATCTACAAAGGTAACTCACAGAGCAGAAAAGCCTTTTCCCCCGTCTTTTGGACCCTGGGGTTAATTAGATGACACAACTCCACAATAAAGTACTCTTTAAATCACATAGTTTACCTTTTTGCTTAAAATTGGAGGCAGAGGGGAATCACTAGTAAAGCTTTTAACTCACTTCAGAAAATCTTAGACATTTCCCCCCCTAGGCAAATGGATAGATGCTCTCTTCTTCAGCTTATAAACTTGACTGTTGATGTTAAAGCCCATTTGTAACTATCCAAATGATGGTTTCAAGATGGCAGACAAGCTTGGCAACATAATAATCATATATAGCCTAAACTAAACAGTCTGCAAGCTGGCCCTGTCCTTACCATTGCGGTGGCAGCTGCTTGGTTCATCTGGTGGTGAGCTGCCTTGAGTTTGGCTTGCAAGTGTGGAGGAGGATGAAAGTACTTGCATTTCTCCCGGGAGCATCGCCCTTTGATGTAATCCATGCAGATCGTCACGGTGTTATCACTTGCTTCAATCATGGAAACATCAATAGGGTGAGCATAGCGGCAATCATTCTCACCACGGGTACAGTTTCCACGTTGATATTCTCGGCAGACCTGAAAGAAGATAGAAAGTTGAAGGCTGGCAGGTGAATCGCACCTGTATATCTTGCCAGTGAAAATTATGGCAATAATAGACATTATTTCCTCATTTAGGGGAGCTCTAAAAGGATAAAGGAAAGATGTATTTGCTATAAACTAAAAGAATAGAATTTCTATTGTTGGGGGGAATAAAATCTATTTTCTTCAAATGTGTCTGTTTTTTCGGACCTAAAATGCTTAAAGATATTAAAAATTGTTTTTAATCATTCATCTAACATGAAGGCTAAATGGTGATTAGCTATGCTTGCAGCTAATGGGGTTGTTATTATTATTTTGTTTATTCATGCACACTTCTCTCCTTCCCTCTCCTCCCTCCCCAATTCCCCTCGTAAGACTATTAATTGTCATACACGTGGTTCCTAAGGGGTTTCTAACTGGGATCCATGTCAGATTCCATGATGATACATTACCAGGTATTTAAGGGACTGCCAAGGTGAGCAACTGATAAGTGACTTATCTCAATTGGTGAAAATGGCAATTAAGGGAATATGGAAGGATTTCAATCAGAACGGGAGAGACTTGGAATTTCATTTCTAGTTTTCTTTCACAGGAACCAAGAACTATTTATTATCCACTATCCATTCTTCAGGTGGATAAAAGGATCTCGACACCACGAGGCAAATGTGAATGTCCACATCCACAAAGACTTACATTCCTGGCGCCTGCAGAGTTAGGGGTCGCCTATATTTGTTCAGGTTGATTATTCCAGCAAGTAGAGACTCATGAACCAAAAAAAAAGCCAGTAATCTCATGCTGGAAAATGGAAATCTACCTTGTTGGGCCAAAGCAAGGGAGAAATACAGTCTGGGGTTGGGTACACCCAGATGCCACTGTAACCCTGAAGCAATGTAAACATAAAAATGTTTCAAATTTGTCTGAGATTATACTTTACAGACTAAGATCTCACAGTACACTTTATTGAGAACATTCAAAACTTGAGTCTCTGAGAATGCTAGGTTAGGCATCAAGTTAATATTTGTAATGATCCTGTGATTCTGTACGCATTTGTACTTTAATACCTCCAGTCTGTCAGAACGCATCGGTTTGGGAATAGGAATTCCTGGCATCGGCAGAGGCGGGTTTCCAGAATAAAGCATAGGTGGATTTGGTACCAGCTCAGCAGGAAACATGCCCATCCCATGATGAGGTACATAAGGATTGAAAGCCATGGCAGGATTCCCTCCAACTTGCGGAGGCACAGGAAAAGAATGCTGTATTTTTAAAGAGAAGGGAGGGAAGTATTAGAGGTAAAAATATCCTTCCTATTAGCACACAAGGCAACATTCTTTCAGAACATGCCAATCATAGCAAGATTACTATTATTTTGACAGATTCACTTTTTAAAATTTATTATTCATTTCAATGAAAATTTACAGAGACTTTGGATTTCCATTCATTCATTGTTGCACTTTTCTTCCCTCCCAACCCTCCCCCCACCACAGTACACTACCCTCTTGGAAAAGTAAAAGAAAAATTCCTTCCTTGCTTTACAGTCCTTCCCCCCAGGTCCACTCCACTAGGCAGCCTTCGCTCTGGACTCCTGTCATGACAAAAATACCTAATCACATATCCCTTTTAAATAGTTTCCCTCATCTGTTTCAATGTAGTATATCAATGTAGTATACATTATTTATCCTCTCTATCTCACTCTCCCCCCAACCCCAATGTCAGTTCTGTTTTACAACGATGGCCCCATACAGTATTTGTCCTTTTGTGACTGAGACACTCTTCACTCAGCATAATGTCCTCTAGGGTCACCCATTTTGAATAATATTGTATGAGTTCTTTGTTTTTCAATGCAGCGTAGTATTCCATTGTGTGAATATACCACAGCTTCTCTATCCATTTGTTTGTTGATTGGGCACTTAGGCTGTTTCCAACTCCTTGCTATTGTGAACAAAACCACAATAAACATGGGTGTGCATATATCTGCTTGGGTGGCACTTCTGGTCTCTTTGGGGTATATTCCCAGTAGTGGAATTGCTGGGTCAAATGGTATCTCTATTTGCAACTTTTTGAGAAAGCGCCATACCGCCTTCCACAGTGGTTGCACCGAACAGATTAGTTTTTGTTGAGATGGAATCAACACCTAGATGACCCTCCAGGGGGGTTTTTAGAGGCAGTAAATCACACAGAAGTAGACTGCTCGTCTGTCTCTCGTGGAGCAGCTGGTGGATTCGAACTGCCTGCCTTCGATCACCAGTGCTTCATTTTTATCCTCATTCTAATGAGCACGGAAGAGCTACTTTTAAAACATATCTTCAAGAACCAAAGTTGGTAAACTGATAAAGCAAGCCAGGTCATTTTAACAGCCATGTTGTAGTCAAATGAAATCTCACCGATGAAGTCTGTTCCAACTGTGTTTTCTCTACCCCTTCTTCCCTCCTGCTGTGCTCCTTCCATCTCAAGAGCCATTGCATCAGTGTCATACGAAGGGATAATCCTTTATGTCCCCTTTATAGGTATGGCCTTTGCAGACTGACTTGAGGTAGTTTTGAAAGACCTCCTTCTTCCAGCCCCCTCCCTTCCTATTCCACATCCATGCTGCTTGGATCTTAGGTTGCCTGTTTAACAGCAGTTTCCAGCTGCTCTGCCACACACTGGCCTTGCTTCTCATTCTAGTCCAGTTGTGGTTATTAGAACCAGCATCCAGTTGCGGAAGAACCGTTTTGGGGGTGTTTTTTCTTAAAGGAAAAGTTAGCATGTAACGACTTCTTGCCATTTACTTAAAACAAGACTGGTATGGTCATCATATTTAAATTTTATCATTCTTTTTTAAAATTAAAGGTTCTGTTTTACAAGACAATCTGACTTGTCCAGCCTTGCCTTTATCTAGGGAGCCAGATGATGTCCATAGTTCAAAAGGAGGCCCCAGAAATGTTAGAAGGAACCCTTCCAGGCAGGAAGAGATAAGATAACAGGATTGTAAAGGAACATAAACTAAAACATAACTTCTGAAGAAAAAAAAGCCTTATTAAATGTAAAAAGCTTATTACTGGTTTGTTTTTCAAGGTCCTCATCTTAGAGTATTTGATATATGCATGGCCTTTATTATCAGTAACTACATAATTTATCACTTTACTGTGCTATTTTCCAGAGGGTTCCATGTGTGGGCGACTTCTCAAGGTGGCTAGAATTCCTCTGCTACTTTTCTTATCTCCCCTGTAGCACCCAACACTTACTCAACGACTGATATAATCACTGGCAAATTTAAAAAGTAATGTCAACATTTTAATGAATTAATAACAAATCGTGATCAGAGACCATTTCTAATAGTGACTCTGTAAGTGGGTTAGCACGTCCCTGCATGGCTGGTGGTGTCTGACTGTGTAATACTAATAGCATGTGCTTTTTCTGACTTTCTTTTTTATTTCTTTCACCAAAAATATAATGAATCCATTGCATTGCCAAGCTGTGCTCACGCCTCTTGCTTAATCACATTAATAGGAATAGCTCTAAATACAGGTAGCACAGGAAGTTATAGGATTTGAAGTGAGAGGCATTATATAGTCACCACTTTACCCCCGAGTCTGACTTGTAATTCTCACTAGCACAGCAAGCTTCAGGAAACCCCTATTATAAAACTAAATTCTATTTGGAAAGAAAAGGTCCTCTAGTGCTCATCTAATTGGCACACTAGTATAGATGAGTGTGTGAAATGAGCTAATTGGTATATTGGGAAGGAAGGAAAAAGAGTCTGGTACTAAAGGAAAGATCTAGAACTTCTAAGACTCAGTAGGTTGGGAAGCGCAGGAATGAAGGGCCACAGCAGAAGCTGGAATTAGGGAAATTGATGGGTTTGCTAGTGGGGGTGCCTTAGAGTTCAGGATAAATAGCCAGGGGCTGATCAAACTAAGCAATATGATGGTGAAGGCGATAGGGACATGCCATACATCTTATTGAATGGCATGTGAAGCTCTCAGAATTAGCTGCCGTGGCATTGTTTTGCATAAAACAAAACCAAAACCTCCCACTGCTGCTGAACTGATTTGTACACTTTGAGATCCTCCTTTGGGTTCCTGAGTCTATAAATCTTAATGGGAACAGACTGCCTTATTTTTCTTTCACAGAGTACCTGCTGGATTCAAATCAATGAACTTTTCAGTTAGCTGCCCTACTCATGATCTACTATGCCACCAGGGGGTCCTTTATTTTTACATAATAAGACCAACAAAATCATTTGCAAATAGCTATCAAGGCATGCCTCAGTCATATAGTAAATTTTATCAACCCAGAACCATCTCAAAACCAGCAAGAGTCTCTGATGGTTTTAACTTCATCCTTGACTCATACAAATTGTACTCTTTCTTTTAGTTTCAGTTTTCTGATTTTCCTAGTGAATCTCTCCTTCAACTCACCCTCCCATTTTCCTCAATTACGAAAGATCATCTTTTAACCACTCAAGAGAAAGTAAAACCAAGAGGTGGAAGGATTTTCCAGATTAAAAAGTTTGTTCTTGGTCATGAATTAATGAATAATATTTGCCTTCTGTTTACAGTGGTACCAAAACTTGTCCAGTAGAATATGACTCCTGCTGATGCCACGTGTTTTAGAGTGCAATCTAGAGGATTTTTAAAAGTTGTGATCTTTCAGTAGGTCTCCAGGACTTTCTTCCAAGGCACTTCTAAATGGATTCAGATTGCCAACCTTTCTGTTAGCTGAGTACTTCACAGTGCTACCCCATAAACTCTGTAGTAGCTAACACATTCTATAATTTTACCCTTCCTTTCTTGGAGTGACTCACCAGGGAACTTCTCCCCTGGTGAACTTCTGCTGGTTTCAGATGACAATTTTAACCGGCTTTAAGGGAAATCTGTAAACTCATTAACAGCCTCTGTAACAAATGTGGAGAGCTCTGGTGGCTGAGTGGATAGAGAATTGTGCTGCGAGCCCAAAGGTAGGCAGTTCAAATCCACCAGCTGCTCCATGGGAGACAGATGGACAACATCCTTTAGTGTGATTTACAACGAATGAAAACCCACTGGAGGGTCAACTATAGGTTGGCTCGAATTCAATAGTAACTCATTGCATTAAATTTGTGGGCAAGATCAACTACAAGGTCAGTCAGACCTGTTTTATAACAGTGGTGCTATAGGTGGAGAGATAATGAACATTGCATTGGAAGAGATGAAGGAAAGAATTGTTTAAAAGGAATTTATGGTTAAGCATTATATGTACTGCAATAGCCCATAAAAAGAAGTATATTGCAAAGAGTACTGGGGGGGGGGAGGTAATTGTGTAACAATGAAAGAATATTTTTTTTTAAAAAAAAAGTAAACTGGGGAGGGGGAAAGAAGGGAGAGAGAAGGTAAAATGTGCAACAACGAATGAATGAAAATCTAACTTTCCTGTAAACTTTCGTTAAAATCACAATTAAAATAAATGTTTATTTATTGTTTTAAAAAATAATGCATTTTCTTCTGGAACACTATTTATTGAGATGTAAGTGCTACCCTTCCCAACCCTGGAGCATAGGCAGGAACCCTTGAGTTTCTCATTCATTTTCTTCTTCTTTTTTTTTAAATTGAGAATTTAATGAAAGTTTATAGAGAACTTGAATTGCCATTCATTCATTGTTGTACATTTTCCTCCCTGTCCCCCATCCTCCCTAGTTCACTTTTTTCTTTGGAAAAAAATTCTTATATTGTTATACAGTTCCCCGACCCCAGTCCACTTTACTAGGCAGCTCTTACTCTGGAGCCTTGTCATGCAAATAATAGTTCTCTCCCTTGTCTGTTTCAATGCAGTGTATATTATTTATCCCCTCTTTTCTTAGTTTCCCCCCAACTCCTATGTCAGTCTTGTTTTATAACAGTGGCACTATGCAGTATTTGTCCTTTTGTGACTGAGATATTTCACTCAGCATAATGCCCTCCAGGGTCCCCCATTTTGTATAATATTTCATGAGTTCTTTGTTTTTCAGTGCTGCATAATTTTCCATTGTGTGAATATAGCACAGCTTCTCTATCCATTTGTTGCTTGATGGGCACTTAGGTTGTTTCCAACTCTTTGCTATTGTGAACAAAGCAGCAATAAGCATGGGTGTACATATATCTGCTTGGGTGGCAGTTCTGGTTTCTTTAGGGTATATTTCCAGTAGTGGAATTGCTGGGGCAAATGGTATTTCTATTTCCAACTTTTTGAGAAAGCGCCATACTGCTTTCCATAGTGGTTGCACCATTTTACACTCCCACCAACAGTGCAGTTCCAG